GGCTCCGGCCTCCTGCCTGGGAGTCCAAAGTGTGCCCCCGTCCCCAACCAGTCAGGGCAGGCAGTGTGAAGGTGCTGGCAGGCCCTTACCCCTAGCAGGCACAGGTTCATAAGAGGGGTCCCAGCTCCACCTCTCCAGAACCCCCCCTTAGAACACAAGACCCCTCCAGCCTTGGACCCACAGAGCGGGAGGGCCTCTGGGGGCTTTAAGGGATGAGACATAGGGATGGCCTTGCAGCTAGGCATGGGCCCTGCGCCCGAGGGTGCCGCAGGCCTCCTCTCCCCTCCCCGACTGCCCGCCCCGCTGCCAGCGAGAGGCCATTTTGGAATGTTAATTGGAAACACCGGCTGCAGCCACTCGCCCCCCAGCTCTGCCTCCCCCCTTCCATAAGCTTGGGGCGGCAGGCAGGGGACAGGCCCGGGAAAACCAGGAAACCAGGGCCGGGGCAAGGGACATGGCTTACAGCCCCGCCCCAAGTGCCTCCAAGAGTCTGTGATCCCCGAGGAGCGAGACCCATGCGGGAATACCCAGAGTCCCCCAACTCAAACGGTCTCTTTGCCCAGGAGGTGGGGATGGTGCTGAGAAAGGCTCCAGTCTCCTCCCCGGCTTCCCGGGGACACCCATTTCAGGCTGGAGGAGCTGGATTTGGGTGCCCTGTCCCCTTTGGGGGTCCCAGGAGGGGGCCCTCCCTACTCTGAGGGGCTCAGCTAGAACCTGGGCGCTGCCATGGCCCCAACGACGGTTAAAAAGGAAAGCCCAGGCAGGAAAAAGTTTGTTCAGCCCATTCGAATCTTGCCGAAGAAGGGGTACGGGGAGGGGGAGGCCCCCACGCCAGGCTAAACCCGCACCACGGGGGCCGGGCTCCCGGGAGGGGCGGATGCGGGCTGGGGGCGACGTGGCGCCGGCGGGGCAGGCTGAGCGCGTGGAAGGAAAGCAGCTTCCGGCAGGGGCGTCAGGGAGCCGCGGGAGAGCCCTAATCCCGGACGGGGGTCTCGGCGCTGCCCTTACCTTGGAGGTAGTAGGCCTGGCAGCCGTCGTCTCGCAGCTTTTGCAGGAGCAGGCCAAGCACCGAGGCGGGAGCGCCAGGTTCTGGCTGCCACTCGGCCGTGGCCTCGTCATAGAGCAGCACGGTGGCCGCCTTGCAGCGCGTGGCGAAGCGCTCCTTGTCGGCGTGGTTGGGGATGATGGAGCGGATGGGCAGGTTGCCCTTGCGCAGGCGGCGCAACATGAGGCCGGGGATGGCCAGGTTGATGGCGGTCTCGATGTGCGATGACTCGAAGAGCTCGTGCGGCCGGCAGTCGAGCAGCAGCAGGGACGCGCCGCCGCGCGCCTCCAGCTCCTCCTGCAGCCACTCGGCGCTCT